GCATGCCCAGATAGCTGGTAAACATTTTGAGGCGTGTCTGTGAGGGTTTTCTGGAAGAGATTAACATTTGAATCATGAGGCTAAATAAAGAGGATCCACCCTCACCAACGTGGTTAGGCATCATCCAATCCTTTTAGGACCTGAGTAGAACAAAAAGGCAGAGGAAGAGCAAATTCTCTCTTGTTGTGCTGGGACACCCATCATCTCCTGTCCTAGAACGTTGGAGCTCCTGTTCTATGGCCTTTGGACTCTGGGACTTACACCAGCAGCCCCCCTTCCTGCTGTTCTTTTCAGCTCTTTGTCCAACATGGGGATTTACATTATCAGCTCCCCTGCTGCTCAGGCCTTCAAACTCAGCGTGAATTACACCACCACCTTTCCTGGGTCTCTACCTTACAGAGAGCAAATTGTGTGACTTACTAACCTCCAGAACAACATAAGCCAAGTCCTACATATATATTTCCTATTGGTTTTCTTTCTCTAGAGAACTCTGACTACATGCCAGTCTCTGCATTGACAAACAGCCCAATGGTATTAACTTCTGGAGATTCTCTCAACACAGCATCCATCAAGCCTACATATTAGTTTGATTACAGTTTCATTCAGCTAATCTGTTTCTCTGTGATCTGTGTAGATCTTCAGTCAAAATGTAGCTAAGGTTATTTTGCTACAATGAAATTTTGTTATCATAAGATTAGGCTAGGATCAAGACTTGTTGAGAAAAGAGAAGAGGAAAGTTGTTGCATGCATGCTGTTCATAAATTTTCAGGACAGTAATTTTATTTGGAGACACCATCTATCCTAATTGCGTGGAGAAATGGATAGTGTTAACCCACCTCAAGCAACATACACAGTTGTGTTTAAAATCAGTCTTGGTGAATCAGATTGTTTTTGAGATTACAAATTGTGTTTGCTATTTAGAGTAATACTACCACAAACTCTTACCTGTGATTAGTCTGGAGGGTGGCACTCAATATTTATGTATCTGAGATTTTTGTCATTTTCATATAATACAAGTTTTAATAATGAATATGCAATACTTTTTAATTTGGTTAAAAAAACCCCACAATTTTTAAAGGACTTGTTTGCGAATCTTTTTAAAACTCAAAATTTCATCTTTTGCTTCCACTTATAGTTTAGTAAGTCACAAGTTTGTCATTCCTAACAGTGAGAACAGTCCAGATAACTTACACAATTTTGGTATTTAAAACTAATCAGAGTACTGAAGATGTAAGAAAGCTAAATGAACTAAAATCCAGAAAGTAATTAACCATTCCCAGGAAAGAAGAGAGATCCGTGGCTACTTTAATGTCTAATGCACAGTGGGAAAAGAAGTCTGTCACAGAATGGAGTGACACAAAAACAGCCAAACTTTCAACAACCTTTTAGCAGCTGCATGTGAGCTGGTGGGACAGATTAGGATCTCAAGGAGTCCAGACCCAGAGCAAGTCTCCCTTCTCCTACCTACCACCTCATTCCCACAGGTTTCACTGAGTCGTGGGGTAAAACACTGAAGGCTGCAATCAGGGCAGGAGAATGAGGAGAAATGCCTCCGAGGATCTCCAGGCCTTCCTTGAGAGCATGGTAGCACCTGCTGAAGGCTGCGAGCAGGGCAAGAGAGTGGAATCTCTTCAAGACTTTTAAGGCCTCCATTGAATGCATCATCTTGGCCCTCCCAAGGCTAAGACAAGAAATTTCTTGGGATACAGAAGGCCAATAACAGCCCTAGTGAGCAAAGGGAACTCTTTAGACTCCCCAAAACTGGCTTTCACAAGCTGTAAAGCAAAGAGATACATCCCACATTCAAAGAGGTAGAAGCTAGGCTATAGAGTGCAAAAATCTCTAGAGCTTTGTGACGGCTCAGATCTCAGGTCCTACTGAAGGGAAGGTCCTGATTCCTCCATCAAGTCATTTGAGTCCAGTGGTGAACTAAATAAGTACAGCTGTAACAAAGCCAAGACCCAACTAATCTGTAAATTAATAACTAAATTAAAAACTAATCTGAGTCAATCTAGACTCAGTCTTTATACTGGTGGGATGACAGAAATAGGGCATGCCTTTTTCTAGAGGTAAATATTTCTTCAGTTTCCACTGTTCCTATATGCACAATAGTAGGCACACAGTAAAAAAGTTTGGGTTCTGCTAAGTGGTAAAAAACTTGGGGCCACAGTCAAGAGGAGAAAAGAATCAGATGGTCAATAGAATCAGATGCAAAGTCAGCCAAGTGTAAGATAATATCAGACAGGGACTTTAATTTTGCTATGATAAATACACTGAAGGATCTAGCAGAAAGACAACAGTATTTTATTTAGTTTGGCCTGTTTTTGGTATTGTATCATATAAATGATAAGCAATACTTGACTTGCTATTTTTGTTTAATGTTATGGTTCTGTGATTTATTCACATTGTTGCATGTAATCATAAACTTTTTTTTTTTTTTACTGGTGTACAGTATATCATTGTAAGACTATACTATAATTAATTTATCCATTCAGTTGTCAGCATACACTTAAGTTTCTAAGTTTTTAGTACTACAAAGATTGTCATGATGCACATTCTTGTATAGATCCCAGTATACATACTCAAGAGTTTCTCTACAGACTACCTAGGAGTAGAATTTTACTAGACAGTGCATTTTTCCCCCATAGTAGTTATACCAGCAGACAATGAGTCTCTATTTCTATATTGTCACCAACACCCAATGTTCTCAAACTTTCTAATTTTTGCCAATTGGTGGATTTTAGGTGGGATCTCATTGTGATATTAAGCTGCATCTAATTAATTTCTCCTGAGAATCTTTTCAAATGCTCATGGGCCATTTGTGTTTTCTCTTTTGTGAGAAACTTAATTTTGTCCTTATTAATTCATGGGAATTACTCCTATATTCTGCAAACAGATCATTCTGTCATTTTTCTATATGTTGCAAATCTTTCTCACTTCTCTCTATATTCTAAACTCCACAGTACATTGCTATTACTTTTGCGGTTAACATTCAGTTGTCTTAACATATAAAAAATGAGAAAAAAATGTATTTTATATTCACCATTCTTGACAGACCTCATTCCTTTGTAGAGATCCAGATTTTATTTTGATTTTATTTTCCTTCAGTCTGAAGAATTTCCTTTAACATATTTGATAGTTTTAGATCTACCGATAATGAATTCTCTCAACATTTATTTGTTAACAGTCTATTTAATCTTGCTTTTTGAAATGTATCTTCACCAGATGTAGAATTCTGTGTTGATAGTTCTTTCTTTCAGGACTGTACAGGTATAGCTGAACTGTTCATTGCCTTATACAGCATCTGACCAGAAGTCTGCTGATCTTCATACCTCTATTTGTAACGATCTTTTTTTTTTTTTCCCTTTTAGCCCTTCACAGAAGTGTCGCTGCCTTATGGAATTTGTGGTTTCTGCTGACAAATCTGGGATCATTTACATTGTTTTTCTGCCGTATGTCATTTTTCTCTAGATTCTTTTAAGGTTTTCTCCTTCTCACCGATTATCGGCATTTGATTATGAGATGCCTTGTTTGGGTTTTCCTTGTTTCTTCTGCCTGGAGGTAATTAGATTATTTGATCTGTGGCATTCTAGTTTTCAACACATTTGAAAAATGTTATCTTTATTGCTTGAAACATTTTTCTGTTCTCTTTTCTCCCGTTCTTCAGGGACTGTAATTCTGTGTACGTTAGACCTGTTGATATTGTCCCACAGCTCAGTGAGATTCAACTTATTAGTTTTAGTTCTCTCGCACGCACGCTCTGCTTCATTTAGGATGATTCCTATTGCTGTCACTTGAAGTTTCCTGAGATTTTCTTCTGCAGGATCTAATCATCCATTAATCCCACCCATGATTTTCTTTTTTTGTTTATTTCCAATACTCTAGTTTTCATCTCTTTGAAGCCTAGTTGAGCATTTTTATATCTCCTTTTTCTCTTATTGTCATGTTCATGTTTCCTCCACCTTGTTGAATATGCAAGCATATTGAAAATGGTTGTTTTAAATGGCCTGGTATGTATGTTAATCCCCTCATCTCCATTACTTAATGTGTTTGTGTCCATAATTAATATATTTCTCCTAGTTATTGATCATATTTTCCTACTTCTTTTCATGATTGGTAACTTTTGATTGGATGACAGATGTTATGAATTTTACATTACTGTCTGCTGGATTTTGTTGTTTTCCTTTAAGGAGTATGTTTCTGGCTTGCAGTTAAGATACTGGAAATTGGCTGGGTCCTTTCTAGTCTTGCTTTTAAGCTTTATTAGGGCATGTCTAGAGCAACCTTTTAGTGTAGGGCTAATTTAGTCCCATGCCTAAGGCAATATCCTTCAGAGGACTCTACCCAAGGCCCGGTATACTACAAGACCATTCTACTCTAACTGGTAAAAACTAGAAATGTTCCCAGCCTGGTGTGAGCTCTGGCGGTTGTCTAGCTTACTACTTCGTAGAGGTTCTTTACCAGGTCTTGATTGTTTTCCTTTCATGGTTGTGTACCTCAGTACTCAGCCCAAGACTTAAGGGGACCCCTCTATAGATTAGAGAGTTTGCTCTCTCTCACTTTCTCTCACTCCTCGTTTCTCTCTGTGCGTTTCCTTCCTTTGGTACTCTGTCCCATTAATTCTAACTTCCTTGGCTTTCCCAAGCTCTGCTGTCTCTGTCTCCCCAGCTGAGTGAAACCTGCGTGCTTTCTACATTCCACATTGTTCCATACTGTGGCCTGCAGACTATCTCCATGCAATAAGTCCCCCACTCTGTTGCCCTTCTCTGAGATAATGGTCCTGTGATTTTTCTTGTCCAAGGTCTGAAAATTATTCTTTCACATCTTTTGTTAGGATTTCTAGTTGTTTAAGAGAAAGGGACTTACCTGGTTCCTATGACTTCTTTATGGCTGGAAGCAGAAGTCTATTCTTGTTTTCTGACGATTGAAACTCCTGCATGAAAATTGTAGTGAGTGGGCAGATGCTCCGTGCAGAGAATGACCAGAGTTTCCTTCTTCAGCTGTGCTGGGCCAGAACCCGAGGCTTGTTCCTGATCAGCTGCTCAGAGCTGTGCCCCCACTTGACTGGCACATTCTACACTCAAGCTGCCCCAAAGGCGCCACCATTCCCCTACCGTGCAGCCGCCACCTCTTCCCACTTACCTGCCATGATGACCGCATCCTCGCTGCAGGGGCCCCACAACCACTGCCAGGCCTGCAGAACCGAAAAGGTGGACGAATTTGCTTCAGGATATCAGTAAAGCTGCTCCTAATGATGGGAATGTGGGCTGACTGCAATGGATTGTGTGCAACACACCTAGATCGTGTGTGAGTCTATCACTGCTACAACTGTAAAGTGATCCACTGATGAAAAGGACCCCCATTTGTTTGACTTTCTTGCGACGCATGATCTAAATAAGCAGGTAAAATCCATTTAATAAATGGATGATTGTGTAATAAACGTAGGCAAGACAGGGGTTCCCAAATCTGGCATCACAGCCTCTATGTTTCACAAACACACCCTGGGAGACAGTGGTACTGAGCGTGCATGGAGCCTCCGGCAGCCTTCCTCATCACCAGTGGGAACAACTCCCCATGGTGAATAACACCGTGCACTTACACGTGTCGCCTGCGCACTTTCTGGAAGCCTCACCAAAACAGCCACCTCTGCTTTCTTCGTACCTTTGCACCATTCCATTCAATAAAGTATTTTGGTATTAAAAAATAAAAGGTACTAACTTATCTACGAAAAAATGTTAAATTAGTAGCAAAGGTTAAAAACTTGTATATAGTAGTTGGTTATTGGCAGAGAAAAATTTCATCTGTGCATCCCGATTTCTAACCCGACCTGTTTTTTTTTTTTTTCAATAAACTAAGTAAAATTATTTCAGAATTTCTCTTTGAGGTCAGTTTCAAGGACTAGGTTTTTTTCTCTTTAGTATTTTAAATATTTAAAAGTATAAGCTAGTTTTGGATGTTTTAGACTTCTGTTCAATACAAATTATTTTGTATCAAATACATTTTCTTTGTGTTCCTTATTAGATTCTTCCAGGTTTTATTTCCTTATCATGAATGTTTAACTTACTAAATTCCCTCACTCCATGTTAATTTGCTTTCTAAGAACTTATTAGATAGGCAAGAAGCCTTTGAGCCTAATAATAGGTCATTCTTGGAAACAGGAAGCAAACCTGTGCCAAAATTAAACAGTCCCAAACACCAAAGGTTCAAGGTCGGTTTGAAACAGAAACCACAAATTTTGATTGGATCTAAACTTGGCAGTATAACACTCACGTGGTTTGTTTCTAGTATTATATGAAGGAGATATATATACACAGTCTAACAAAGGGAGATAGGAAAACCAGTTTAAACTAGCAGAACATTCAGGAAAGTATTAAGAACTCAGATCTGGTGTAGTGAACATGGATCTGGAGCCCCTGAGTCTCACGGTCTGTCACTAACACACCGAGAGTAAGTGAACAGAAGGATAAATGCTTTTGGAGAAATCTATCTTTTCTGAGGTGAATGAATGGCAGATAGCACTATGCCAGGAACACATTCCTCAGAGAGAAAGTCTAAAACTAAGAAGTGAGAGTTCAAAAGATAGAGTTTAATCATGAAAAAATTGCTTTCAGAATTCCCATTTTCTTAATTTATATGATATGGTTAACTGGGCCAACATCCCCTCACCTGGGTAGTATCAGGAGTCTAGGAAAAGCAAAAAGATGTTTGTGAAGTGTTTTCAAGTCACTAAAAAGACAGTGGAAATATACATTAAAATACTTTACTTTCAAAGTGCAGCTATGAAAGAAACTATCATGTAGCTGGAAACTGGTTTTTCATTGTCAGTGGATCTCACGGAATATTGCTATTGAATTTGCTAGCACTTCACTGAGTTTCTTGAAGGCCTCACAGATTCAAAAATACAGACCGTAACATTTGTTAAACTTTTTTTTTTTTTTGGTACTGTGAAACGCAATGAAAAAAAGTATAAAACATAAACCCAATGAATGATTATAAGACAAAATATCCTAGAACTATCATATAGAGGTCAAGAAATAGAACAATGTCAGCAACCCACAAGCCCTCCCCAAGGCCTATGCCATATCGAGTTTTTCATTAAAATAACGCCACAGTGTTTTTGGAGGATAAAAACACTATAAATCGTGTCTTCAAAAGTTAACATCCCATGTAAATGGCATATTCCAGACACGTTTGAACAGTCCTGGTAAATTCAAACCAACAAGCCAAGATTTATATTTGGTTCAAGTGAAACATTTCAAGACAGGAGTTAGAGATAATAAATACAGTCAGCATCCACCAGAAAACTCAGCTTTGCCCTAGTGGTGCCTTGCCTCGCGGTATTTACCCTGTTTGGATCTGAGACTCACCTGTGGGCTTTTCTCTGTGGTCTGAAAAGCTAGTTCCCTGAAAGAGAAAACAGGCACATATTTAAGATCTGCAGGCCCAATCTGTGTAGGAGTGGATTACTGTTGGCCTGCTCTGGCATTCATGTTTTAGGATAAAGGAAGAACTTGTCTTCTTCACACAAAATTTACTTTGTGTTTTTGCTTCTGTCTTTCCCAGGGCCCAAGGCTTCTTCTCAATTGGAAACTGTTTCTGGCAGCATGTATGTGGTAAGTCTTGCGTAGCTAGAGATTCTTCAGAAATGGATTCCAAGACAGTTTCTTTTCAATTAGCAATAATCGCGCCTCGGATAAATCTCATTGGCTACGATACTGCCACTGCGCAAAGCTTGACAGTTTCTTTTCAAAAGGGGCCATGTCCCGACTATCTGTAATGCCTCCTCCCCTCCCCCCCTCGCCAATCTTCATTCGGGTGTTTTGAGATGAGCGTGGGTTTGTGAGATTTTGCGTGCGGGTTTTGTTAGACTTTTGATGGGAACAATGCCACGGGTGGATGCAGTTGCCAGGTGAGTAAACTCAATGTCTCTCTGTATAGCTTTATCAAGGGAAGCAGAAAGAGTGGATGGGGTTCTACTTGTGTAGAACCAGCAGCTTCTGAGCGGCTCAGGTCCTGGAACTGCTTCTTGTCCCAGCGCAGTGGGTATTAGAAGCTTCTGGACTAGGATAGCATTGACTTGCACGCCAGATTCTTGTGTCCTTACTCTGTTATCTAATCAACTGCTGCTCAGCTTCCTTGTCCAGATGTTTTCCTCACCACCTTGCCTGGCCCTCTGGGTCCCCGCGGGATTGCATCCTGCCCATCTTCTGATGTCTACCACTTGCCTGCACTTGCGATCTGTGAGGCAATCTGACTCCAGTGTGGGTCCTGGAGCAAAGGGTTGCCGCTTTGTCATATGACACATTCTGCTCTGGGCAACAGACAGACATCAGCATCGGTCCTTGTTTAATGCACTCTGCACTGCCATTGCCTATTCAGTTATTCGTTTCTCCAGCCGTACTGTAACGGGTGATTCAAGACAGGTGCTATTTCTGCATCCCCAGAATCTAGGACTGTGCCTAGAATTTAACAGGCATGTCAGCACATTTATTGACAAAAGCTTTTAACCTGGACCAGGATGACTAAAGTGTTATAGAATCTAATTCTAGCTCTCTCACTGTCTAATACTAAAATCTTAGGCAAGTGAATTGATATTTTTGGCTTGCAGTGTCTTCATTTGCAAAACAAGGCTGAGCAGATGATCATTGGGATGGTTTGTAAGATTGCTTTCAGCCTCAGAGTTCTTCAACTCTGCTTAATGCTCAGAACCTTGATTAGGACATCTTCAGAATGATAGGACTCAGTTTTCACCCTAAAAGGGATATCTGGATTGTTCAAAACTGATTTTCAGAGAAAAGCAGTTTTTAACCCAAATAATCCATGGTTTCCTTTCTCATGCCCATTATAATGCTTAGCAGATTGGACCTTCAATTGTAGGACAAATGTAAGAGATGAATCGCCACCTAGTGGACACGTCCCTAGACAGTGGCCTCCCCTCCAGAACAAGAGGGAGCTTTGTTCTCTGGAGCCCATAGGTCCTTACCCATAGTTTCTCCTTCCTCCACCTGACACACATCTCAACCTTGTCATTGCCTCTGCCTCTAAAGAAATCACAGAAATATTCATTTTGGCAAGAGAAGACATGTTTATTTTGACCACGTTTGATTTCATTTTTACCTATTTGTGTTTCACATTCACAGTGTGGTAGGCATTTTAAGGGAAAAAAGATAAGGTCCAGCAAACTTAGACTGGGTCTTTTTAGTCTCTTATCTGTCTGGTTTGAAAACAATCCTTGAGCATTCAGAGACGCCTTGGCTAGACAGACAGAAAAGGGATAGTAGAGTTCACATGTCTCCCAAGCAGAACTGTCTAGAGGGCCCAGCCTTTCATCCAGTTCCTCACCAAGTGTTCAGAGTTTTACAATTTTCCTTGTTTAAAGGAAAACCATTTAGAGGCTAATCTAAGGCTTTGGATTAGTAGTTATTTCAATGTGAAGTGGAGTCTTTGCCTGGATAATGTTTTCACTGAGCTTAAGGGAACCTATGTGACCTCTACTTAAAATGAACAAAACGATATGATTATTCTAGGTTTTCTTTCTCCACCTTAGAAAAAGTGTCCATAAGTTCTGTTAGTGGAGGTTCAAAGAGGCTTAGAGAAGGTATTCTTGGTTAATTAATGAAACATCAAGAGGATTGCTACAAATCTTCAGCCCAGCTTCTGATGCCTCTACGGTACTTTATTATTTTAGCGCAAGACCTTACTCATTTAATCAGCACTAATGATTCCTTCCAGCAACCCCAGATTGGCCAGCTATTCATACTGTAATTGCAGCACTGAGGCTCTATATTTCTCTAGCCTTCTCCACAAGCATTTATTTTCATTAGTATTTCTTGTTCATTAGTATTTCTCTGCTATTAAGTGCCGCTAGCTAGCTCATGACATTCCGATATTTTAATTTCTGTTTCCTACCCCACCAACCGAGTGCAAAATTTCTTCACTTCTCTACAAACTTTTGTTTAATTTCTCTTTCTCTGACATCTCTTACTATGTCTCAAAAAACTTTTGGAATGCTCTGAACCTAAAAATAACTCTTCTATTGATCCTAATATCTATTCAAACAAGTTCTCTCCGACCCTCCCTCCTTCCTTCTTTCCTCCCTTCCTTCGAAGAAAACCATTCAGAACAGTTCCAGCTAAGGTATTAATACACTCTCCCTGAGTTCTAGAGATATCTCTCCCAGTGGCCATTCTGTAGAGCCTCAGTCCTGACTAAATCACTCAAAGGATGCCATCAAGATTTCTAAGCCATATTCTTGTATTGCTGCTCTCGAACAGGCTTTATAGGCTTGCTCTTCTTACCTGTAACTTCTGGAAGCCGGTACGTACATTAATCCAAACAGCCAAAGAGGAAGGACTCAGTGAGGGGGAAAAAACGAAGAAATTAAATGCCTAGAGCTAACCTTGGTCATTCATCCCCCTACCCCTGAAGGAAAATATACTCTAAGAAAAAAACTACCCTTGTTCCTCCTGTATATTCATACCCTTAGCAAAATCTCTACAGAAACTGCAGACAAAGTAATTTGAAATGAATGTGCTCATCAATAAGCATGCAATAAATATCTATCTGTATACATTAGACTGTCTTCAGTGTTGAGTAGAAAACAGAAATAAATATAAGGCACAGTTCTTGGATTCTCAGAGCTTACGTTGTTATTTTGACAAAACTTATATTTAAATATTTACAGAAAACAGATAAGAGGCATGCCATAAATCACATCTAATTTTCATATAGAAATAATGGTAGAATTAAACCTTGTGTTGTTGACCAAGGACTTGATGCTAAACCCTTTATAGAATTAGTCACGAGCATCACATCGAACTAAGTAGAAATAGTACTTCTGTATGGTATAAATGTTTCTGAAAGGTGATCAAGAGTTCGAACAGTGAAACATAGTGTAGTCGGTCAAAATGGTGGACTAACAACAACTAAAATATATGTCCATTATCTTAACCCCTGGAACCTATGAATGTGACCGTATTTAGAGAAAAGGGTCTTTGCACCTGTAATTAAGTTAAGGATTTTAAAATGAGATTATCCTGGTTTACCCTGATAATCCTATGACAAGTATCCTTAGAAGAGACAGAAGAGGAGACACAGACACAGAGGAAAAGGTCATGTGAAGACAGAAGCAGGTATTTTAACTTTGCAGCCACAAACCAAGTGCTTTCAGAGGGAGAGTGGCCCTGCCAACATCTTGACTTCTAGGTTTAGACTTCTGGTCCATAACTGTGAGAAAATAAATTTCTGTTGTTTTAAACCATTAAGTTTTACTAATTTTTTATGGCAGCCATGGGATATTAATACACATGGTAATAAATCACCTAAAACCTTTTTTGATGGTCTCTTTTTCCTTACCATAATTTCCTGCTTTTCCTTTACTGTAATGAATCAGAAATTAAAGGCATAGCCATATAGAATTAATGAAATTCAGTAGAGTTTCTTTCTTTTTTTTTTAAGATTTTATTTATTTATTTGAGAGAGAGGGAGGGAGAGCACAAGCAGGGCCAGGGGCAGAGGGAGAAACAGATTCCCTACTGAGTGGGGAGCCAGACATGGGGCTCGATCCCAGGACGCCTGAGCTGAAGGCAGATGCCTAACCAACTGAGCCACCCAGGCACCCCAAGTGGAGTTTCTACGGGGAGTGGAATAGCAGCTTTGAAGAGATATCTGGGGATGGAGATCAGATTTAGAGAAGCCTATCCGTCCATGTGCTTTGTGCTCACCTTTTCACGTATTCCAAGTTCTGGGTAACACATAAAGGAACTAAGGAGTAAGCTTTGGTTCATCTGTTATCTCCGAACCAAAGTCTGTCTGGCTTCTTGAGGCAAACCCAATTAAAAACTTGTATGTTTTTCTATGTAATGCAGTTGAAGAAACAAAATCATAAATCTTTAGAATATCCAAACCAACCCTTCTGCACCTTGATCTATTATAGGTTATTTCATCATTTGGGAATCCTTAAAGCTCTGCTTGGGTTTTATGACCAAATCATTGTTGAAATTTGATCCTGAATATGCATAATTAAGAGTGTTTGTGTCTTAGACATAAGACTGACTCTTTACCAAATAGTAATTGTAATTGTTAGTCATCTTAGAGGAAAACTAAGATATGACTTTGAATTAAGGAGATTGATTCCTAAGCAATGCCAGGTACATAGCAGGCACTCCATGAAGATTTGTTCCGTGAATGAATTTATTCAGCTAAAAAAGAGTTTGGCTTCAGGTAGCCCTCTAATTATTAGTAGTTAAAATAAACCCATTCAAGCTGACGATATCTATAGAAAGCCCAGGACAGCCATAAAATGAAGCCCATCAGATTTCTTTATGCAGAAGAAACAGCTGCAAATCCCTCAAGAAGCTGCAGGAGCGATGCTATCTGGAGTCGTGTAAGAGAGAGTGTTGGGACTGGGGTACACTGGAGGGCACACACTCTGTCTTAAGGGGGCGGCCACTACTCAGCTGGAGCAAATTGTCGCCATGCAGAAATTTGAGCCTAATTTGCCATTCATTTCATATTTTCAAGAGAAGCTAGAAGTATAGTCGAGAACACTTGCCATTTTAAAAGTTGGCAATGAATTCACTCTTTTCAAAAACGCTCTGTGGTGGCCAAACAA